GCCCCCATTGTCCTTATAGAGCAAATGTGAGGGAAAACCTTGCCCGACACATCCGCCACCGACATCCTAACACTGTTGTCCCTACAGAGGAAACTAGAGCATTGGATGCATAAACAGTACGTTCTCACAACTTCCTGCTATGAATGTTTCAGAGCACAGCCATTAATAATCATACTATTAAGTCATTCATTTACAAATATCTAAATGTAGCTTGTAGAGCTTAGAATATTGTACTTCATGTTACCTAAAAAATTAATTTATCTCAAAAGTTGAAATCTTTGAGGGTAAAATTTAGAGACACATTGTAGAGTTGTTGTAAGTTCTATGTGTAAAGTGTCTCGTGCATTATTAAGGTCAACAGTGGCTGAAGTAGAGGTCGACTGGAGAATTATTATGAATGATGAAGTCTGCCAAATGAATTATCTCCTGTGTTTTAAACTGTACTTGTGGTAATTTTAATTTTAACCACCATAGCAGTAGGGGCAACCCATGATAATTACTAAAGATTGGTTGTCTCTTAAAGTCTAGCGCACCTAACATGAACACACTCCAGAAACCACAGATGTAGTGACGGGTCGACAAGTTGATGGGGTACCTATATTATTACTGTGCTGTCTTATCTCTTTGAAGGAATTTATTATTTTCCCAACAATCATCAGTTTCCTCTCTTTTTTCATATAAATTTTACACCAACACAAAAAGATCCACAGACTCAATATACATATTTGGATTTTATCAACCAGCCATTGGCATTATCTTGGATGTACAGTAAGGAAAGAGTTATTAGAAATACTTTACTTTATATTTCAAAAGTTTTCACGGGTCTCTTGATTATACTCCCTGCCCAGTGTTTCCTTGAAGGTGACATATACTTCTTGACTTAAGTTCTTTCCTTTCTTTCCTTCTCTCTCTCTACCTTTGTATTGCACTTCTCTCCCCATATTTCTTTCCTTCCTTTGACATTTCTTTACCAAGTGATTCAGTCAACACAAAAAATGTAGATGTGTAAAACTGATAGATAGATATAGGGAGAACATAACACTATGATTATGATGTGATGGTCTTATGTTTACTATGAAAGCTGTAAAACATTACTTTCTCTCTGGGTAACAGATATTATTGTATTGCAAGTTAAATATATGTAATGAACTCAACATTTATCATGACGTCGGTGAAAGAAAGGAGCGTTATCAATGTGTGTGTGTGTGTGTGTGATCTTGTTTATAGATGGTGAGCTGGTAATAAGATACACTGCTGGTGTCAGGGATAACCAAAGTTCCACCACTCACTAACACCCAGCTGCTTCACAGAACTCTCACACAAACCAAGCAAACCAAGGGAGTGTTCACATCCTAATCACGGCTATGATCAGCTCTTTACTTTAATTTACCTAAAAAAATTTACAATGGAGCACGTTTCCTAAAATTTATTATATTTTTAATTTATAAATTGTTAATATTACCATAATTAAAACAAGAATTGGCTTGTGGGAGCAAATGGTAATTATGCAAATTTTTTGCAGGAGGAGTGTGTTGGTGGCAGCAGTGTGTGTGGAATATGTGGGAAGCTGTTCCAGGGCAGCAATCACAAGTTCCTCCTGCGTCGTCATATTCTAACTCACACGGGGGAGCGTCGTCACGCCTGCCCCTACTGCTCGTACCAAGGTAACCAGGCTGGCAATCTGAACAGACACATACGCAATCTTCACCCTGCCCAGGCCCACGGCCACGAAGGCATCATGCCTCAGCAGGTTGCCAGGTCTTCCCTTCCAGTTATTCCAGGGTCAAGGTCATCCCACCAGAGTATTCTGACCTCACGTCCCACCGTGCAGTTGCCAGTGTCGCCAAGGTCCATCCTGCAACAGCTACCATTAAGTCCTCGACATAATCCTCGACCCTCAGAAACAGCACCTCGTTCTCCTTCCCCGTGTCGTGGCTCCTCCAGACCTTCCCTGACCACCCCTCACCATCACTTCTCTCGGCTCCCTCTCCACCTTCCATCCCCTGCCACCGTGTCCTCCGTTTCCAGCACAAGTGTCAACAGCTCCACCAGCAGCACCACCACCTCCACGACAGCCACCACAGTTTGTCCGGACTGAATACTTTACGTGTGTTTGTTAACTAGTTTGCAAGATACTGAAGTAAGAAAATCTCAGTCTTGATTTATATTTATTACAATTTCTGAATAACAAATTTATTTGCATGGGAGTTATTTGATAAATGTGTATTTGTTCATAAATGCTGTTCACTTAGCAGATTCATTGGTACATAAATGCTCTCTATGAAATTTTAAAATCAGATTTACTGTGCCATAAGTACTCTTAATAAGCTTCTGGAATGTGAGTGTTATGTCACCCTGATCATGACTGGGTACCTTAACTTTTCTGTAAGCAGTTCTACAGTATTTAAATATATAACTTAGATTCCAAAGAAAACTTATTGAAGATATAATTTAAGGAATATATTCATAGGAAAAGTTTGTTGAATATTGCTAAGTCTTTCTCTTTTTCAAAATGCAATTACAGTAATTTACTTACAGTGACTTTTACATTCCATGTTCATATCAGTTATCAGTATTGTGACATATTTATGTTTAACTTCCATCTCCACTACAGTAGTAACATGCAGCAGCTCTCTCAAGCATCGTTCCATTCTGTTTCAATTCATCTGTTGTCTGGAATATATATATATATACGATTGTACTGTTATTTATAACTTAGAATTTAAGTTTAATTTAAATTTTTTTCTCAACATTACACCAGCAACTTGCATTGATTGAACATACATAATGGAAAACAAATACCAAGGTTATGAATATAATAAAAGTTGTCTAGATTACTTTGTTTATCTGAAAATTGTCATTTGTAATGATATTTATAACCAAACATTCTATGTTGAGAGGGCAAAGGGTGATTTAATAGAAGTTTTTAAGCACCTCAAAGGACGCTGTTCAATTATATATATATATCTGGAGTTAGCAGTTTGCTGCCCCACTCATGTTAAAGAAACTGTGAGTACAGAAAACTGTCAGAGCTAACTTCTTTCAAGGAAAAGTTTTGAACTTTTGTAATAATCTGCCAGAAAGTGTTGTGACAGTACCAAATGTGAGCTCAAAGTTTGGAATCAACAAAACTGGATCATGTTCAGGTACTTTCAAGAGCCAGTACTTACTAACAATGTACAACAGTGAACTGACTGACTGCCTGACTTGTTAGTAAGCTGACAATTGGTAAAGAGGAGAAACTAAAGTAAGTAAAGTTTGTTTGCTAGCAAAGCTAAATGACTGTTGATCTGGTTAGGACTGAAGTAAGATAGAAAACAATTTTCTGATAAGAAAACTCTCCAAGTTCATGAGGATTTCTCAGCAATCAGTGATGGAATGTCATTCTTGATGGGTGTACAGTGCAATACTGTATAGCAGTTTTCTGTTGTGTGACTAAACAATTTAGTAACATCTCTTTCGAACTTATAACTTGACCACTGGCTTAAATGGCAATAAATATTATTAATTTATTCAAGCTAATTGGTCATGTGTTTTGTTAATATTTTGGAGTAACACTTTTTCTCTCAGAATTTAAAACTACAGTACTGTATTGTGCCTGTACTGTAATGTGTTTATCTACTTTAGTACATCCAGGTTAACATAAGATGCTTAAAATTAGAACATAAAAATTAAAGATGGTGAGTAATGAGGCATTACCAGACTCCTGTAATTATAATATTCAAAGAGTCATAAGGATAAATATTACCTAAATTTCAGCTTTCTGACCCCAGATCCTTCACCAGCATGTGAAGGACTACTATACTGTACTTATATGGAGATTTTCAACAAAATCAAAATGTTCATAATATGAGTACTGTACTGTACAGTACATAGCATTACAGCTTTATTGAGCTGTTATGAATAAAGGATCTCTTTTGGAATAAGTAAGTTGATGATAACTGACAGGTATAGTACCTTTCACATATGTTGAGAAGCAGCAGTTTTATAGTCCTTCACAGGTACTGTACAGTAGAGATGTTTTAAAGTAATGGTCACCTGGTTGGTGCCAGTAAATTCCTAATTTGTTTTGATAATTCTAACTTTCTAAACGATTGAGAAATAGTTAAGATCTGTCTGTCTGTCTGTCTATAATTGGTTTATCACATAGACTTCAGACTGAACAATAATTTCTAATAGCCAGTGACTTTCTCTCTGGACTTTGAGTGGGTCAAGTGTGTCAACCACTTGTGGCCCACACCAGGAATACTGTCACAATAACTATTTAAAGATGATGAAACTTAAATATTTACTTTATAAAATTTCAACATTAGCAAGAACTATTCTTCTACAAAACTATACAGTACAGTATATACTATATACTGCACTGTACTTGTATTAAGATCTCTTCTTACAATTATTCTCTTGATTTTTTTTTGCCTTATAGTGGTTCTCAGACTAGACTTATTTTGAATTATGAAAAGTACTGGTCTCACTTAATACCCACAACACACTATTATCTCACTAGTACGGTACTTGTACACATATTTCAGTATTTTTTATGTACCTTCTACCACTGTCACCAAATTATCCAAACTTATTTTTTCTTGTCAGAGATGGAGGTCATAAACAAAAGCCTGAACATGTACAACACACCAACTATAAGTGCTGATGGTAAACTAAACTTAATGGCACACCTTTTACCCAAAACTTAAATAGTACTGTATTAGGTTTTCCTGATGTTTAGAGTTTTATTATCCATCTTTATCTTATAAGGACTTGTGTGTATTTACCCCCAACACAAAATTTATGGGAAACATCAAACTGATCCTGACAACTACTGTATTGTACTGGTAATCACTCTCTAATCTTGGTAAGTGCTCAGAACACTCAAGTTTTTCCATACTATTGTACACTGTTTCAACCTTACTCCTATATTAGCATTATGAATCAATAACTAATATTGAAGTAAAAATTGTCAGCTTTCAGCAAAAATGTCTTTGAATAGTAAAAGAATTGAGACCAATAAAAACTTTTTATGTCATAAATAATATGTAATACAGACCCGGGCAAACATGTGATCATATACAATAACAATATAACAGTAGTAGTTAGACAACACAGCAGTGGAAAAAGTGAATATCTGTGAAGACTGATGATTGTGTGGTTGGGCCTCTGTCTGCTGATGGCCACTTGTTAGATGTCTAATATGGAACAGGGCAGTGTAATGTAGGACAAAATTAAGAAGTAACTTGGAAAGATTCTAATGTGTTAAATATATGACTGTACTGTACTATATTTTTTATGAGATAATCTAAAGAACTGTACAGTATACTATAAATTATGGATACTCTGTACATTCCTTGTCTGAATTTGTATGTGCATTTACATTCATTGGTAATTTGCAGATAGGAAGAAGCAATAAGGCATTTGAGGTTGTATATGTGTGTACTTGTGTAAGGGACAGTGTGACAGGAGCACTACAGTGTTCTTGATGTAGTAGTCAAAGTGTAGAATAATAATGAATTTGTGTTGTATTTCTTAGGGTGTTACCTTGATTTCAACTCCTCCAGCACTAAGTTTTTCTTCTTCTGTCTTCTCTCTTACCATTTGTTCTTTAATTTGTATAACCTATTGTCTTGGGCACTAGTTAAAGATGAGGTCCTTGTAGTGAGTGAGGAGATAGGCAATGGAAACACAGCAGTTTGTGGAGGTGCGGACCACAGTGGTGCGGTCAGCACGCTCGAAATTGGCCTTCACAATCTCGTAGTACTTGCCGTCACTGTCGAGGGAAAAAGTGGATGAGAGAGAATGTCAATGATGAAGTAGTGGATATATGAAATAGCAGGTAGAACACATCTAACCAGTAAGGTTTATTATACAAGATCCAGTAGACACCAGACAGGATTTGGTATGTAAGATTTACAAAGAAACACACACAAAATGTTAATATATGGGGAGACTTGCCAAACATGAGCCTGAAAAACAATACGCCAGGTACTCACGCAAGGACGAGACACTTGAGTCTAAGGCACTTCACACGCATGGTATCGATAGCCTTCTGGCTCTTGTCGGAGAAGCGGAGAGATTCAGGGTCCCAAGAGATTTCGAGACGCTCCATATTCATGCCATAGGTGGCAATGTTGTCCAGCAGACCATCTACGTGAATCTTGCCCATAAGACGATATGACAGGTTCTCCGTCAGACCCATTCGCAGGATCCTAAAAAAGTAAGATATGAGATTTTTTATCAGAGTCTGTGAGTAACTGAACACATATAAGAGGTACCAGTACCCTCTCATTTGGTTTCTGAAGAGACCAAGAAAGTCACACACACACTCCATAAAGTTTGTGAAAAAGACCAAATGAGGAACTATTCTCTTATCAGACTACACTCTGTAAACATCAGAGCTCTTGACTGGTAAGTGGAAACTCAAGAACTAAGTTTGAATTGGGAGAGTAATTCCTCATCCATTCTCTCTTGTTTTCTCACTCATCTTATCCTCTCTATACTGCCCTAATTTCTCTTATTACAGTAATGTGATATTCTCTATATCTATTTTTCCTCATCCTTTTTCCCTTCTTGTCTTCCCCCAGTCTCTTCTCACCTGATGTTCTTGAGGGCGGGCATGACATTAGAGCAGAGAGAGTCGGTGCACTGTGGGATGCCAGAGAGGACGAGGCCACGCAGGTTTTGTCCGTACCTCGCCAGGAACTTATAAAGTCCCTCTTCTGTCAGGTTGTCACACAGGTCCAGGTCGAGGGCAATCAGGCTCTTCAGGTTGCCTCGCTCAGTCCATGCCTTCAGCACCTTCAACAGGAGAAAACACTAGAGTCAAGCAGGTGAATGGGTTGATCCTCCTGGTCAATACCCAAACAGAAAGCCTTCCAACTGTGACCAAAAACTGATGGTGTATAGAGTTTAGGGATCCATGTGCAAACTAGAAGTTTAATGTACTTCAAGAACTCTATTTTTTGACAGATATGCAGAAAGATGAAGTCAGGGATGTTATTCAGCTGAAACTTACCATTGAGGGAGGAAGAATAAGGATATTTACTGTCATGGCCTTGGAAGGATATTGAGAGTCTTGGGAGAAGGTGTACTTATCCCTTTGAAATTATAATTATACAGTCTTGAGAAAAATTTTAAATCCTAAGACAATACACAGTTCTGAGAAAGTACAGTACAGTACAGTACAACATGCACAAGATGATTAATGTATATACTGTATATTCCTGGTAGTGTACTAAGGGCCCACCGTACTCACAGTGTCATTGATGCCATCTATCTGTCCTGCACTGAGCCACCTGATAGCTGGTATGCGGGTGAGGATGTCAATGAGGCAGTCAGTGGAGAGGTCAGTGGCCGAGACGTCCAGCTCCTGCACAGACGACTTCTCCCACTCTGCTGCCATCACCTGGTCATTCTGCAGGCCTTTACAATACCACAGAGGGCAGTTACAGGTCAATAAAGGCCAGAGCAATCATCTAGTCATTGTGCAGGCCTGTACAACACCATACTGGTCAGGGAAGGTCATTTTTGTCATGATACAAGTCAAATATAGGATACAGGCAATATATATATATTATCAACTTTCGCCTGGTAGTTTTGTAAACTTACTGAAAATTAAGTATAGGTCTTAGCCATCTCTGCACAGGCCTAGTGAGAAGGGTGTTATCCAGTGTTATCTTGGTACTATTGTTTCCTCCAGTTCTAACACTGGGCTATAAAGGTTGTAATACAGAACAGACCTACTGCCCAAATGATTAGGAAGTTGACAAGTGGTAAAATGATAAATAAAATTAACTAAAAAAATAAGTAGAAGAGCAGGAGGCATAACTTGGGAGAGTGATACAAGATGAGTGGAGAAAGCTACAGGAAATGGCTACAACAATGAGTAAAAAATATCTACACACTCATATCCTCAACCTACATACATACACAGTATATAAAGGGAATGTTGAACATCCACAGTGACTGACAGCTGTCTGTACCTTAAGGACACATTAGCAGCTCAAATGTATCACAGACTTATTTTTGGAACCCTTGAGTCTGATATGACCAGTTAAGTGAGGAAGGTATTGTAGGGAGGCACGAGGCTCAGTACTCACTACACTGCTGCATTAGGAGGCACTTGAGCTTCTTACATCTGCTGAGCAAGATCTTGAGTGCAGACCCATTCACCTTAGAACAGAAGTTGACTGCCATACACTCCAGCTGCAAGGTTAGGTTATATTAGGTCAACTGAGGTGTGTGACATGTATACACTTCAAAACCAAGTCATATTAAGTGAGTTATCTAACTGATATGCACTCAGAGCTGAAAGTTTAGGTCAGGTCATGTGAATATTCAATTGACTCAATATCTGGTTCATTCGACTGGTATCACAAGGGCCAGCTGGTTCACCTAGCCAGATACTCGCCTGGATACAGTTTGAGCTGAAGGCCTCAATGTGGGAGTCGTCGACGAAGTTGATGCCGTAGAGGTTGACTACCTTGAGGTTGGGTGTGGAAGACTTGAGCTTGTGGATGTTGATGACCTCGTAAATTTCCTCCTCCTCTTCATCTGCCTTCTCATATGTGCCTGCAATACACCATTATGATCAGGGAGGCAGTGTGGGAGAGAGAAGGGAGGAAGAGGCAAGCAAAGAGAAAGAAATGAGACAAGGAGAGATCAGGGAAGGTGGAAGAGAGAAGCAAGACAAAGGGAGAGTTGAGGCAGAGAGGGAGAAGAGGGAGAACAGCAACACAGTATTCTTCCTGCAAGACCTGCGTATAACATCATCACTCTGGTAAGTTAATTATATATTTTTCTATAATCACATCAGTAGTATCGTCAAATAATACAAGTTTTAATGTAGGTCAATGAATAATTTTCAACTGAATTTACCTTAATTTCTCTGGGTGTGAAGAGGACAAAGGAATATAGTATGGTAAGTGTCCTTGCTACACCACAAGGACACACACACGAGACTCACCCACTAGATGAAGCACCTCGAGGCCATTGATAAAGTTGTAGATCTTCCTCATGAAGCCCTCCATGAAGATCACCTCAGACAGACAGATGCACATAGTCCGCAGCTTTGTGGGGAACGCCTGTAGGCGGTGACGAGCATTAGGGTCATGACACATTGTAAAGCTCGATGGTTTATGGTGTTAAGAATTTAGAGATCACCTGATGAAAACAGTAACCCCCAGTTTATTTTGCTTGAAGATTACACACCTTATTGTTACATTTATACATTTTTTAAAATAATCATTAGAGACAATGGTTTTTCAGGATTTTTTTTTACCTTGATGCCATGTTTAAGTGATCGTTGAGGAACCTGGTCAGACACCATCCTTTGTTGTCGCTATAGTGAGGTTAGTAGTCGTTGAAGTGAGGTCAGTGATCACTGAGATGAAGTTAGAGGTCATTCAGATGAGGAAGATTAGCAACACGACCTGCTGGGAGTTTCGTGGGTTTAATAAACACCATGGTCATAGCTATGGTATCTGGTTGTTGTTAAATGAAGCGAGAGGTCATCAAGGTAAGATTAGTAGTCGCTGAGTTAACACTAGAAGTCGTTCAGGCAAGGTTTAAGAGACACAGCCACACCTCTGAAGGGTAGGATAAAATCACTCGTGGTCGCTGTACTGGTACCTGCATGTCGTTGAAATCGTGAAGCTGCATGGCTGAGGAAAAGTCGAGTAGGAGGGCAGTGAGGTTGGGACACTTAGCGGCCAGCTCGTGCAACACCGGGTGGGTGATTACGTCCATCGGCATCTCCAAGTACCTCAGTGATGCCCCAAACCTTGCACTGGGGATAGGGGGGTTAGTTATAAACATATGGAAATTAAAGTCTATACCGTCAATCAATCAATAAGAGTACCATCCATACATCTGATGGTTGGGGACCAAAGGCCTCCACTCTAAATGTTCTCAACTGTTTTTACCATTTCTCTAGTCTCTGCCGTCCCCTGGGCCTGGCCCTCCTTCCCTCAACTTTACCCTTTAATATTTCTGTTTTACAGTATATATATATATATATATATATATATATATATATATATATATATATATATATATATATATATATATATATATATATATATATATATAATGTGATAATCTCTCAAGTTCCAATTATTTTTTCCCTTTTCTCCCTGTCTTGTCCTTAGTCTATCTTTTGTTTCCCTACTTTTCTCCCTCCGCTCCTCTCTTCATCTTCCAGCTATCCCTACATACGTCCAACCGCTGTTTCCCTGCTATCTCTACTCTCTCCCTTTCCTTGACATCAGTGTATCCTCTCCCTCACCCTGCCATCTCCACACCGTCCCACCCTCCCTCACCTTACCTGATGAGATAGAGAAGGGCCTCGATGCTGTTGACACACAGCCCATGACACTCTGGCCTGAGGGACACAGCGCTCCACAGGTTGGTGTTGTAAGCGATGGTCCTCCACTTCTTGCAGACCCGGGCGTTGTTGATGATCTCCCGGTGTGACAGGTAAGAGAAGATCCTCAGCAGTACCTTGTCTGGCAGCTTGTCAATCGTCTGTGTGAGGGAAGGTAGGAGGTTTAGTGCCTAGTGGGATGGTATGTTTGGTGCCTTTGGGAGGGATAGGGGTGGAATACAGCTGTCAGCCAATCATAATTATTCACAGAAAGGGAACTTAAGCTGTCAGTCAATTGTATAATTTGACAATCAGACACACTGCCTAGCTAAGTAAAACATCACAATAGATTACTGACGCTTTAACATAATAAATGACCCCCAAAACACCCTAATTTTCCTGTAAATGAATGAATGATTATGAATACTCGTACACTGAAATATATTAGCGCCGCAACAGCCAGGGTCGAATGGCGCCGGAGATAATTAATGGTAAAATACAAGTTAAAATCAAGATGACGGAATACCAAAAACCGGAAATAAAATGACCACAAAGGAAACAAGAATAAATAAACCTACAAAAGATACAGGAGGCCAGTCTCCTTCAAAAACATCATAGTCTCACCCTCCGGGCAGCATAACCCCAACCCCCCAGTGTAAACCATCTCTCCCGCGGCGTGGTACATTAATTAATTTAGCCTGGGCTAAAACCTCCAAAGAGCTTTTTCAGGTTGTCCTGAATCTGAATAAACAAACAAAAACAAAATATCGTACTAGGCTAGAGGATCAAACTCAGCAAACACGTATCGGATACTAAAAGACACCTATAGTCGCTATTGATAAGGGTTGAAGTTCTGTGAGAAGTTTAGAGTTCGAGGAACTGTACGAGATACAAATTGTCTAGTTTAAAAAAAAAATGGAAGAAATGAGAATACAATTGCATTGAATATTCATGCCAATAGACACTCAGTAAACTATATATTGATTATCACTAATTTAATACCATAGAAATGTAAAACTAGCATATTCCCTTTTTTTCAAATGCCGTGTATATAATAGGGAAATAGGGAAATTTTGTGACAAAAAGGGAATTTTTGAAGATTCATTAGGGAAATTTGGCCGAGGATACCTTGCACCACTGACCACTATACAGTGTCAGAATCCTTGTTGATTAAATTTCATTGTATATTTATGTTGTCGTTTTTGTGCGGGATGTTTTTGTTGTATCTTAAGTTGTCTGTGCTTGTGAAGGATGAAGAGAGTTTACAAGAATTTATCTGTCAACATGGACTAGTTGGCATTACACAATGCCGATTTAAGAAATTTGCTTTCATTGGTATCAAAGTAAGTTCTTTCTGGGTAATATTCCAGGGGTAGGTTTGGTTGGTTAGGTCAGGTTCTAAGATGTTTTGTGCATTGTCGTTTACATTTTAGTGTTGGTATCATGCAGATAGTATCCCCAGAAATTTAAAAGTCCTTTTGAACCTCCAAGGAAACATAATTCCCGAATACGGCCTTGACTGCAAGATGCTCTTCATTCGAGAAAAGTGTGATAAACGAAGTATGACCTGAAGAGAAGATACCATAGCATATTTCGCCTAAAAATTAACCACCCAAACCTAACCTAACACATAATACTAATTTAACCTAACTTACCAGAATTATATAACGTAACCCCTGAGGTAATGTTAGAGTGGGTATCTCTAAATGAAATAAGCTGAGGTGTCTAATCTTAAGGTGATCCTTAACGAAAAGTATAATCAGTAATAACACAGAACAGAAGATAAATAATAAAAGTTGAGAGATAATTGGTCGAGTTATAACTTAAACTTCCGCCTCTTGTTATCACTCCCCCGTACGTGCTGGAGGTCGTCGCTCTTATTGAACATCTGCTGGTGTGATGTGTTTATCGCGGTAGAGTGGGACGTAACACCTCACTGCTACGAGTAGAGTCTTAGTGGTAATACGTGAATCGAGAGAAGCTATTTTTGGCATCACATGAATCTAGTGAAGTAGTTTTCTATCACCATTTGTACACACCCAATAACTCGTAAGTACACTGTAGTACATAGTGGTGAAGTTTTATAGCCCATTCAGGTACAATAATACTGTACAAAATTACTTTGTGGTATATAAATACATTTTAAGCGACTTGTATAACCATCTCTGCCAGGGGGAGTATTCTAACATACATCTCTTCATAATAATGTAGATACATTGACATTAATTCAGCATGCATATAGTACAGACAATGCAGGTATACACTGTACAGTACATAGACCGTGCAGGTATACAATGTATAGTACATAGACCGTGCAGGTATACAATGTCCATAGACAGTGAGTAGACGTTAAGGCGCCAATAGGAGAGTGCGTACAATTATAGCATTATATTTATGCAAGAGGCAGGTATGGTGTACAAGTCTAGATGGACAAGACAACAAAGATAGACAAGCGATTCAGACACGGTGCTTCCCAACAGACACAAGCCACCACACTCCAAGGTGCCTCGCCGTCCCGAACAAACTTTCGGGCCACCTCTTGGTATTTGGCCGCTAAACCCGCCTCTCAACCTTAATTTCTTATCTGCTCTGTCTTGTGAAAAGCTAAAGCTATTCATTCAAAATAAGGATAACATATATTCTCCAGATTGCGTCATGCTATATAACCTGTATTTGAGGGACACGTTAACAGTCTGAAGGTGTTATCTTGGAAGTGATAATTTATTACCGAATTCATCAAGACTCCTTCCAGGGTTACACGCTCTACTTTATCCTTTTTGCTACTGATCGGTTCGTTAGCCGCTTGGGCGGTCGGTCACGTCTCTGTTACATACTGTTGGCAGGTACTGGGCATGCACTGGGTATCTGAACCTGCTCCCAGTGTTGGTCAAATGTGGTTTTGAATGAGCTCACACTCGGTGCCGTCACAACACTGGCAGATTGTTGCAAGAGTTCACAACTCTCCAAAAAACAAATTTGCCCTCAAAGTTTTATGGATTTGTAGCTTCTTCAACCTGAGGCTGACCTAAAATGGGGCGGGCATTCCCCAGTTCCAGGTATGAACACTCCACCAAGTAATGTCCTCTAAGTTGTACACACTGGAGTCTATTTTTTTTTGTATCTTTATCATGGCAACTCATTTTTTTTGCTCGACCTATACAGTACTGTATATCGTGTGGAATTTAGAATGACAGTCAACCATGCAAGCTACGTGAGAGGTGGTGGCAGGTATCTCGATTTCAACAGGCATCATATGTTCAGTCTTCCACACCTGTTCTTCCCGTACACACCTGTGGCGGGCGATGACGAATGAGAGAGAGAGAGTACAGTACTTCTCCCTTCTCTTCTCTTCTCTCCTTCTCTTTTCTACCTCACTTATACACAGTGTACCCAATGAGGTTGACGAACTTTATTGCATCTCGTGAGCCTCGTACAGGTGTTAACTGCACTCGTTGTCTACAATTGTTGTACACCTGTGGGTATGTGATCACTGGTCTCCCGTAACACCTGTGACCAGCTGTCCTATATGTCAAACGCCTAGTGTAAATGAACTGTTGTCATGGTTCATAAAGTTGGTGTACAATAATATTAATTAATATTTATTATTATTATTATTATTATTACTCACTGATCTACTGAGGCCAACGACAGTAGATTCATCAAGCATTTTCCATATTTATTCTGTTGTCGATATTCTTACTTATGGTTTATGTCTATAGTACTGTACAAATTAACCAAATAACAGCGTATTCGTATAACATTAAAATTTATTCGGAAAACGTTGAAGAACATTTGTATTGTTGCTCATCAAGGTTACAAACACTTGTTAAAGACACACACATACGCATGGTCACACTAGCCATTCATTGTTTATCGGAGACTCATTACTATCAAAAACTTATTCAGTAATTCGAAACTTTGCAAATACAGGTATATGAAAAAAATAAATAAATTAATAACTTAGTAAAAACTAAATGAATATACAAAAATAAATGTACGAAAAGCCATACAAATAATAGAAAAATACAGCGTTAAACTCCTGTCTTTCCGGAGGTGACTGTGGCATTAAGCAGTAAATAACTACGATCTTGTTTACATAAAAAAACGATTTAAGTTCTACAAGTTTAAAAACAATATTTTATTTAGAGGTAATATCACGGCAGTCGTGTTTGCAGGTGAGAAAATGAAAGTTGAGGGAGGCGGACAGGACCGTGGTAAAGGTGTGATCAGCATCGTCGAAGTCCGTCATGAAAGCAGCGTCGGCGGTGAGTTGCGTCCACGCCTGCATCTTGCCGTTCTTACTATACCGCTCTCACGAATATTTTGTATACTCAAACGTTCCCTCACACCAAGTCCTCCTGTGCACCAGTTTACATTCACTAAATCACCTAGAACAACGTTCCCTCACACTAAATCTTTCTGTTCACCAGTTTACATTCACTAATTCATCTTCTAATATCAGTTTTGGTGTCTTGAATTCCCCATTCCACTGTCACGCGATCAGTCTTCATTTACACCAGTATGTCCTTCAGTTTTATTAGTTTTCTTTAGTCTAGGTTTCTTGTTTTTCAGTCTCTTAATATTTTTTTTGTCTTTTCTTTTGTATTATCGTTCAATAATTATTTTCTCTCGCTTTTCTTATCTTTGTTTAATCCGTTTTAGTCTTTCTTTATCACTATATCTTTCTTTTAGTCTTGTTTCGTCTGGATTAATAGATAAATAATAATGTGCTGCTGTAGAATATGACATTTGTGTTTGTGGTTCAACTCGTCTCCATAAACGCCCATCGAATCTTTTCCCACAAGTCCAAATATTACCAGATATTCCTCCAGTGGACAAAATACCACCAGATATTCCCTTACTGGACAAAATACTACTAGATATTCACCCTGTGGACAAAATATTACCAGATACTCTCGCATACACAAGCACACATATAGAATAGAATTCGGAGAAAGAGAAATTTGTCACAAGTAAATGTCGTATTTTTAATGATAGACTTTAGTCATCGAGCGTTGCCAAGGAGGTGATGAAATCGGAGTGTGGTTGGATGGTGTGTGTGTGTGTGTGTGTGTGTGTGTGTGTGTGTGTGTGTGTGTGTGTGTGTGTGTGTGTGTGTGTGTGTGTGTGTGTGTGTGTGTGTGTGTGTGTGTGTGTGTCT